TTTACCCTCAATTGCCATCAGGAATTTTCGTCCGTTTTGTCTCTTTGGGCTTCTGGTGGTCTAGGAACCTAACCTAACCTAACCTACTTTAACCTACTCTAACCTAACCTAACTTAACGTAACCTAACCTAACCGAAGCGTAAGGGTGTTTAATCATCAGGTAAAATAAGCTGGGAGGGTAAGCTTTAGGTGTTCCGTATATAAATTGGGACTAATCTTGAGGTGATTCGTATATAAGCTGGTGACTAATCATCTAGTGAGCTTTCCCCTCCTCCTGCAGTACATTACAACCATTACGGCAGCACGGGAAGTGTTATGCTTCCTCGTGTACCGAAGACTTGATAATGAGTATGCTGTATCTACATCACCCCGGGAGGAAGGATAGGCCAATGGAAGCTGATTTCGTCTACACACACACACACACACACACACACACACACACACACACACACACACACACACACCTGTTAAATATTACCACATATCTAATCAGTGTACGAGTATAACTACCCTGCGTACAACTACTGGCCAGGGTTTGGTTTTCGGCCTGTAAATGATAGAGCAAAGTTTACTATACAGAATTATGAAAATAATTCCACTAAATGATATTAAATTATAGCGGAACAAACAAAATGTTATCCCTGTTTGGTAAAACATTAGTTGAGTTTTAAAGTTTAATCGGACGATTATCCTTATTTAGCATATATATATATATATATATATATATATATATATATATATATATATATATATATATATATATATATATATATATATATATATATATATATAAAACTTAAGGGATTTTTATAGTGTAAATTAAGTAGACAGCCAGGGTGAGTCAGTAACCACCGTCAACACACAGCAGAGAAGCGAGATAACAGTTGAGCCATAGGCTCCTCACCCTGCCTCACACAGCCTCACCCTGCCTCACCCTGCCCACCGCCTACCTGAAATATTCATGAAACGACTCGATAATGACTCAGGCCATTTACCTTCGTGATAAGGAAGACATTAGTGGTGAGGCGGGTTAAAGTTTCACCCAGCCTGGCCCGGCCACCTGGTACTCCCATGGAGGCAGGTGGTGTCTATCTTTCTGGCCAAACAAAATATTTCCCGGGTTATTACACCACATCAAATAGTGAGTTATATACGCGGACGTAAACTGGCGCCTGATACTGTCACAAAATGAACGGTTCAGATGACCTGCAGTACTGGAGTTATTAAGTTTTCAATTCGTTTTATTTTGTTATTCCACTTATTTATGCTTTAATTTTAATCCTCCATAAACCACGTTAAAATAATGTTCTCGTTGCCCGTGTGTGTTAGTGCTGGGCTGGTGGGGCCTTGTGTTGATGTTATAATATATTTCTGGACTATAACCACTTATTATCTTTAAGCGCGTATTCCAGGTTAGGTTAGGTTAATAGTTATGTCAATCCTTCATAATTAAATATATTATTAAAAGAGATACAACTCTATTGTCTTCCTCTATCTGTTACTTTGCAGCACACTTGGCGCCTAACCTAACCTAAGCCTAACCCACCCTACCTTAACAAGCCCTGTGTCACGAGAAATTAATGGACTTTTACGACGGAATAAAATATCAGCGCTAATGAAAGGGTGCTGCTGCAGACGGAGGTAAACTAAAGCAGAGAATTTGTCGTGAGATGACGGTGGAAACATTATTAACGCCAACCTGTTATTCTAAGTATTATGTAATTATTACGGGTAAAACACTGCAGTCTATATCCAAGACAAAGAGATTTAAAGACTTAGGCAGTGGGAAAAATTATATTAATTCCACAAATTGACACGTAATTGGCTGCCACGCAACGGTTAATTACGATGTGTGTTTGTTTTGTCAATATATTGTGGACCATAATTTAGTTGCAGTTTTAACACAATATATTTCTTTAGCGACTAACATTTGGAACTACCACAAAAGGACGTGTAAATATGATATATAATCTGACAGAGCCACAGTAAAACCTGCCTTTGGACCATTACATACTGTACACGTATCCTGTATAGTAAGTCCCAAGAGACGCGTGAGAGATGATGATGATGAAGTAAAGTGACAAATAACTTTGCCCTGGGAGAAGATTGGAGAGAGAGAAGGAAATCATAGAAACGGGAAGTAAAGTAGTAGGGAGTGATAGCAGGTGGGCTGTTCACCTAGCTGAGACGAGTTGATTGGTCGGGGTGATGGCCACACACAGCAGACGCCCGCCCGCTCAAGGGAGGTAGGTGGGGGGTGGGGGGGGGGGACTAAGCTAGCTAGGCATCATTAGTGTAATGGGTGTTAATTTATGTTTGTTAGATGGTGGTGTTATTTGTTCACATATAGTGGGTCTTGTTCTTCTATGTTAGCATGGAGGCTCTTGGGCCACCAGCTGTGTGTTTTAGTAGTTACTTCTTTTAACTGGGAGAATAGCGAAGACTGACGTGTGTCCTTATATGTTAACTGTTTTATTGCCGGGCTGATAATATAGGGTTTATTGGGTAAATTTCACCATTACTTGTGTATAATGGTAAAGATATCTGTAGTTGGTGAGGGCGGTCAATGCTGGCGTGTGTGTAGGACATGCTTCCTGATTTCATATAATTTCTTCTAATTTTCGATAAAGTAACAATTCCAGATATTTGTGACCCATTCACCTGACAGGTAACACATTTAACCCTGAGGTAGGAAGTGTATTTAGTACAGTTCGATCCGTACCTTCACATAAGTGAGAACGAAGTCTTTTTAATCTTGGTGAATTATATTATCCGCGCTTAAGTCGAAAACCTTACCTCAGTCTAACAAGAACCAAGTCAGAAATGACGACCCCGGGTCCGGTGTACCATCGTCTTGTGGCACATTCACGAGTGCGAGTCAGTGGCCATAACGAGGCGGGGCGGGGCCACACTCTCAGATATTATCACATTAGTCTTCTTTCTTTTGACCAGGAATAGTAGAGAAAGAATTTAGTAAATTTTTTGTGTCATTTCGAGGGCAGTTTTATCAGGGTGTTTGTGTCGCAGTTTGAGGATGGGAGTTACTATAATCCTCATTTGTCAAGAAAGTTGGATTTTTTTTATACACGAACCACTGAGACTACACCTTGCCTGAGGACAGCTCGTGAGGGAATGTTTCGTGACAATAAGAAACGTGCCAGAAATATTCTCCCGTGCGTTCCTCACATCACACGGCTCCAGGAGTGGCGTGTGTCTCAACGATATACTGTAACTGGTTTCGCTTATAACCTGCTCTCTTAGATCTGGAAATATTTCACATTACTGATGAGGAAGATAACTGCTATACCTCCTGCACTAGGCATGATGAACCCTCTGACATATTCCTCCCACACATGTAAGGGTGACGCTTATTACTATGTGCTGCCTCTTGTATGTATCTGAGTGTTTAATATATTCCTTTTAATCTTACCGACAGTCGAAATATAGATTATTAATGTTTCTACTGGATATCTACTTATGTTGATGCCTTCATGAGCAACATACCTGGAGACCTGACCTTCACCTTTGCTAGTGATGGAAGAGGTGACGTAGTAATGTGTGTCATGTATGTGTATCACCACCCGATTACCTCACCACCTCACCACCCGACCACCTCACCACCCGACCACCTCACCACCCGACCAACTCACCACTCGACCACTCGTCTCATCACCCGACCACCTGACCACCCGATTACCTCACCACCGATCACCGCGATTACGATTACCTCACCACCAGATTACGTCACCACCCGACCACTCACCAATCTGACCAACTCACCACCCGACCACCCATCTCACCACCCGACCACCCCCACCACCCGACCACCTCACCACCCGACCACCTCACCACCCGACCACCCATCTCACCACCCGACCACCTCACCACCACCACCACACCTCTCCTAACGATGCTATTAACAAAAATGGTTTCAATCATTTATACGTCATTTTGAGTGGCCGGCTAAACATCTCATATAAGTCCGGCTTCTTTGTCTATCTATATGTGACTAAACCAGATATAGACCTGAGTTAATTACACCAAATTCCTGTCAGTTTATGTAAAAAAAAATTCATAAAACCAGTGACTATTTTTCCCGCCTGTTTATATTGTATGGGGTCTGAATATTACATGATGGTGTGTGTTCATCCGAGTACAGTGTTGTATCATGACCTCCCGCAGGACAGTGGCCGCCGTTACAGGTACAGTATTAATATTACAAAATCGTTTCGTTTCTTATCAACGTGGCCGACATAGGGACGCTTGCTTTATGAAATTAACTTCCTATAGTTTTACATGAAAGAACTGGACACATGTTACAATTATTTTTGTGTGGCAGTAAATGTACAGTCCCCTTCACTAGTGCGTTTACAGGGGCTCATTAGGTTTGGTGCAGTGTGGCAGCCCTGTGTTTGTTTACATTCGACAGAAGGAAACTCGCAATAGTAAACTTATCATGGAATCAAATTAAAGCAATAAAAACAAATATCTAAATGTAATGATTTGTGGAATGTTTACATGATGACCCCCTGTAAACGCACTAGTGAACGGGACTTAAATGTTTCAAGATAGGTCATGTCAGGTGATTAGAGAAGATAGTATACTCACCGCTGATGTACGGGGTCCTCTCTGTGCTGAATAAAATCATCTGGCGTTAACCAAATAAAATATTAAAAGTGGCGTCCCGTAGTGAAGGAGTTACCGCAGCATTTAACCACTTGTGTCGCACAGTGAGAACCTAGACACTTCACTTTGTCAGTTTTATAGATCATGATTAATTTTCGGATTTTGAGAGTTAGTGTCGTATCACCTGAAGATTAGTCCTCTTATGCGGTGTTTACCTCTCTCACACACACACACACACACACACACACACACACACACACACACACACACACACACACTCCCGGCCTGCCTGAGCTTCTAAAATGGCCCCTATGTTACGCTGAGACTGTACCTTAAACACATGTACGGTACCTAAGTTAATGTGTCACTGTCCCATGTGTCACTGTCTCATGTGTCACTGTCCCATGTGTCACTGTCCCATGTGTCACTGTCCCATGTGTCACTGTCCCATGTGTCACTGTCGCATGTGTCACTGTCTCATGTGTCACTGTCTCATGTGTCACTGTCTCATGTGTCACTGTCCCATGTGTCACTGTCTCATGTGTCACTGTCCCATGTGTCACTGTCCCATGTGTCACTGTCCCATGTGTCACTGTCTCATGTGTCACTGTCCATGTGTCACTGTCCCATGTGTCACTGTCCCATGTGTCACTGTCCCATGTGTCACTGTCTCATGTGTCACTGTCCCATGTGTCACTGTGTCACTGTCCCATGTGTCACTGTCCCACTGTCCCATGTGTCACTGTCCATGTGTTACTGTCCCATGTGTCACTGTCCCATGTGTCACTGTCCCATGTGTCACTGTCCCATGTGTCACTGTCCCATGTGTCACTGTCCCATGTGTCACTGTCCCATGTGTCACTGTGTCACCTCATGTATCACTGTCCCATGTGTCACTGTCCTATGTGTCACTGTCCCATGTGTCACTGTCCCATGTGTCACTGTCCCATGTGTCACTGTCCCATGTGTCACTGTCCTATGTGTCACTGCCTCACCCATGTATCACTTCCCCACCCTCATTTCAACCCTTTCATTCGAACCCTAAAAATATGTTTGTTTGTTTATTTTAGTTGTGGCTTTTTGCTTTATCCTTTGGACGTTGTTTATTATGTGTTTACCTTTAATCGGTGTGGCGACCCTCGTGTGCAGCTGATGATGATGATGATGATGATGATGATGAAGTCTTACGTGTGCAGCTGTTGTTGAAATCTTATGTGTGTAGCTGTTGTTAGTCATGCTTGTGCAGCTGTTGTTGAAATCTTATGTGTGCAGCTGTTGTTAGTCATGCTTGTGCAGCTGTTGTTGAAATCTTATGTGTGCAGCTGTTGTTAGTCATGCTTGTGCAGCTGTTGTTGAAATCTTATTTGTGCAGCTGTTATCGAAGCCTGTCTTGAGACTGAAGGAGGTAAGGTTTGGTGAGATGAGACTGAATGAGGCGAGTCGTGAGGGGTGTGTCGTGAGGGGGGGTGTGTCGTGAGGGGGTGGGGTAAGTCGTGAAGGGGTCGAATCGTGAGGGGGTGAGTCGTGAGAGATGAGTCGTGAGGAGTGAGGCGTGAGGGGATCGAGTCGTGAGGGGGTCGAGTCGTGAGGGCGTGAGTCGTGAGGGGGCTAATCATGAGAGGACGAGACTGTGTCATGGCTACCCAGCTGTCAATACCTATTTACTTTAGTTACCCCTTCCTTCTCTTGACCCCTCCTTCCTTCCCTCTGTTCTGCTCTTCCTTCTCAAAATCTTGCCCCTCCTTCCCTATTTAATCTCCTCCTCTCTGTCTTGCTTCTCCATCCCTCCTTTCTACCCCTTCCTTTCGCCCCTTCCCCTTTCTCTTGCCCCTCCCCTTCCTCTTGCCCCCCCTTCCTCTTGCCCTTCCCCTTCCCGTCGGGTAATCATTCATTGTCCTCCGGTTTCCATTTCGTCTTCAATCTTCTTTTACCAGCGTTCCGTGTGTGTGTGTGTGTGGGTGTGGGGGGTAATGTAAATTAACGAATAATTTTTCAAATTACCTTTAGGTTAGAGTGTTTGTCTGTCAGTGTGTTGCAGGTCAAGAGAGGAGGTATTAACTGTGCGTGTCAAAATGAGATTCGACCCCTCCTTTCCCCCTCCCATCTGTGATTTGTGTTATACGTGACAGTAGCCAAAAGGAGCGGCCCGGGTACTTGGTCTAGAAAACACGAACTTGTGTGACTCAATTACTTTCCTGGTGAAGGAGTGAGTGGTGAACATGATAATGGTGAAGGAGTGAGTGGTGATCATGATAATGGTGAAGGAGTGAGTGGTGAACATGATAATGGTGAAGGAGTGAGTGGTGATCATGATAATGGTGAAGGAGTGAGTGGTGAACATGATAATGGTGAGGGAGTGAGTGGTGAACATGATAAAGGTGAAGGAGTGAGTGGTGAACATGATAATGGTGAAGGAGTGAGTGGTGAACATGATAAAGGTGAAGGAGTGAGTGGTGAACATGATAATGGTGAAGGAGTGAGCGGTGAACATGATAATGGTGAAGGAGTGAGTGGTGAACATGATAATGGTGAAGGAGTGAGCGGTGAACATGATAATGGTGAGGGAGTGAACCATTAACTTGTTGGGGGTAAATTAGACGAACCCTGAGTACAATGTCCCCTCGTACGTGCCTTGAGTCTATTGCTCGTTGTGGTACAAATTGTAAGGATTATCACGTTTATCTGTTGTTTGGAATTGAGTTAGGAGATTGTTGACATCTTAGGGCCAGTAACTGTGGTTTATGGCGCTAAGTGGTCCTCCCGACGATGTAAGTGTTGGTTACTGGGTTAAGTGGTAGTGTGTGTCCTGTTTTAAGTGGCCGTGTTTTATGAGGGTAATTAGTATATCTAAAGTGGAGGTATGTGATGGTCTAAGTGGTCTTTATGGGGGTAATTAGCATTTTTGTAATTGGTGGTGGTAGTGTGTGCTGTTTTAAGTGGCCGTGTTTTATAAGGGGTAAACAGTTTTTCGTAAGTGGTAGTCAAAGCTATATGATGTTAGTAGTTAATTTCAGGGCCATGACTTGTTCTAAGCTTCAGGTAACGTTACAATACTTCTTCAGCTTCAGGCCACAATCTCCTACCGAAGACAATCCTGACACACACACACACACACACACACACACACCCACTCTCGGTGGTAATGAGGAAGGTGTATCAGGTGTGAGGGTAGGATGACCACTGTCAGGTAAGACACTGGAGTAAAGAGTGAAATTGTAAAGCTGCTAATATCCCAAACAGACTTGTTCATTAGTTCCATGTGTGTGTGTGTGTGTGTGTGTGTGTGTGTGTGTGTGTGTGTGTGTGTTTGTGTGTGTGTGTGTGTGTGTGTGTGTGTGTGTGTGTGTGTATGTGTGTGTGTGTGTGTGTAACTTTTTATCTGTCTTCGTCTGAAATTTTTGATAAACCTTGATACATGAATAATTAGATTTTAACCCAAGAAAGACAGATTTAACTTGTAAAGAAAGAAAGAGAGAGAGAGAGAATTAAGGTGATTTCGACTCACCTTGGCAAGTAGATTGTAAGTTAGTGAAGAAGATTTTAACAATAGTCTGAAAAATGAAGGAATAAGTCAAAATTAGAAATAAAAATCAAAGAATATAAAAATAAAATAAAATAAAAGTGTTCCAGAAATATTAATTGTCGAGTTTCCTCTAGTTCATATTTATTACCTTTCACTCTTGGTCTAGTTTTATCAAAAGCCTCACTATTCCTTTAATTCTTTCTTTTCGTAATTTTAGAAGACAAATTAGGAGTGCGGTGGCTGAATGGATACACCACTCGTTTTCATACCTTAATGGTCCTCTGGTTTGATCCCTGGTCACATTTAAGTTGAGGAAGTAAAAGTGATCAAAAACAGTGTTGCCTTTGGGTACCACTTTCACCTTATTATCTTTTATTTTTGTATTTTTATGGGGTTAATTAGTTAGACTTATATGCCAATGGGTCGTGTGTGTGTGTGTGTGTTTGTGTGTGTGTGTGTGTGTGTGTCTTCCTGTCTGTCTCTCTGTCCTCTACTTTCTACGTCCCTTTTATACGTTTATCTGATCCAAGTCTTCTCAGGCAGGGTTGGGAACACACGAGACACTTCGCTGAGCACTGCATTTCTTTCTCGTCTAACTCATATTCCAGATGACTCGCGCTACATCCAGACTGCCTATCTCGTTCCAGTCCAACCTTACGTAGAGTGGATAAAGGCCTTAGACAGCTTTGTACAAATGAAAGGCAGATAGGGACCCTTTGAATGAATTTTTGTCATGTAAGGCGGATGGGAGTCATTTAAAGTAGGTCATATCCCTACGGCAGAAGGGATCTTTTTTTAGGTAGGGTCTTTTGCTATGTTTGATGTGGTGGTTTCATTGAAGTAGGTCTTCTTTTTTTTATTTTGAGGTTGAATTATGTGGTCTCTTTGTGGTGGGTCTTTTTATGTGACAGATTGGGGTCACTAAATTGTCCCTCTTTTAGTGTAATGGCAGATGGGGGTCACTGAAATAAGTCTTTATGACAGTGAAAGAAAATTATCAAATCCTTCTTTGTTCTCCTCTTATGCTTAATTATTCCAATTGTTGCACACTTAGTCCTCCTCCTCTGAGCCATAGGAGACCAGATCTATTTACTTCTGATTCCCGCAGCTTCTCTGCTGTCTATGGCCTCCATGCTCGTCTTTTGTGTATGGCCTCCTGATTTAATGCTTAAGTGTGGCCTCCAGGCTGTTCTTCTGCTTGTGGTCTCCAGGCTGGTATTTTGTTTGTGACCTCCAGGCTATTCTTTTGCTTTTGGCCTCCAGGCTGGTCTTTTGTTTGTGACCTCCAGGTTGTTCTTCTGCTTGTGGCCTCCAGACCGGTCTTTAACTTTTGGCTTCAAGGACTGTCTCCATCTTGCAAACTCGAGGAGTATTTCTCACTTGTAGGCTTGAGGATTACCTTCTATTGGTAGCCTTTAGGATTATCTTTCTCTTTTAGCCTCGAGGATTATATCCCACTTGAAGCATTGAGGATTCCTCGAGAGCAGGAAGGCAATAAAGCTGAATTCACGGATAACTGACTCGTTACCAATAGAAAAAGGGGACTAACTGCTGGGGGGGGGGGGGAGGGACAACCTGCTGGGGTACAACCTGCCGGGGGTACAACTGGGCTGGGGGTACAACCTGTTGGGGTGCAACTGGCTGGGGGTACAACCCGTTGGGGGTACAACTGGCTGGGGGTACAACCTGTTGGGGATACAACTGGCTGGGGGTACAACCTGCTGGGGGTACAACTGGCTGGGGGTACAACCTGTTGGGGATACAACTGGCTGGGGGTACAACCTGCTGGGGGTACAACTGGCTGGGGGTACAACCTGTTGGGGGTACAACTGGCTGGGGGTACAAACTGCTGGGAGTACAACTGGCTGGGGTTACAACCTGCTGAGGGTACAACAAGCCAACCAGCTCCTCTTCATATTATGGCAGTCTAAAGAGTTTTGTGATGGACCTCTCACAGAAAAATCCCCAATTCTTTTTATATAATTTAACTACGCGTTGGTTTGTTTACAGCGTACCACAGACGAAGACTGGGGTGGAGGCTACGAACCTCTGTTTACACCGCCTAGTGACTGTTGCCAGAAGGTTTGGTGGTACAGCTGACAACTGAAAAGGATAATTCAGAATGGGCATTGATATCCTTGCTTTCAATAGTTCTTTCTTCGTCATTCAGAAAACAACCCAAGGTCCGGAAACTCAGTTCTTCTCTTTCCGAGCGGCCGCTGTGTGTGGGCAAGAACCTGGAACATTTTTCATCCTCTTTTCTCAGTTGTAAAAGGAATTTGTTGGAGACGTGGGCGCCGTCCTTCCTCAGAGACGTAAGGTTATCAGACTCTCTTATTTATGGTGCTTGCACAGCTCTCGGCGGATATTCGTTTGTCTGATAAAGGGACATAGATCAGTTTGTTGATAATTCAGGCAACCTCTTGGTCGTTGAGAGGCCTGAGAAGGTGATATCCCTTTGTGACTCAGTAATATCTTCTTCGCTGTGTCATGAACGCTAAAAGCAAGAAACACAACACTCACTATATACAAGGAAGCAGTTCCCCAATTACATGAGCTCGGCTTTGATGCTGAGTCAGTTCACTTCCTTTGAGCCACGTGAAAGGAATGTTATTGTCAGTCCACCATTAAAATCCCTCGACTTTTCATTCGTAGTTCTCTTAGCAACTTTTGCAATATCTGAAGCGCAGACTTCAGATGTCTTCACAGAAAGTTGGCAGCTGCATCTTGATCAAACGATAACATGTCTTCTTGTGTGGTGTGGGGATCACTGTTTACTGTGGATACATCTATAATGGTAAAAGGATCTCTCTGTCTGTTCCAGTCATAGCTCCAAAATGGAAGCAGTTAGAGATCTGAAACCTAACACACACACATTACACGGGTCCTCAGGCTGTGCACCTTGGTATTACTATTGACCACGGACCCCCGGCTATTGCGGGAGGTGTTACCCGTGTGAAGGAGGACAAACATTGACAGTCAAAGTTATACAGTACCTAACCCGTGTAAAGTCAGGTAATTTTGCAAGTCTCGAAATATATTGAGGTGTTGTAGTCACTTATTGGCTTCCATCTACATAATAGACTTCCTCTACTGTGATCATTATTTGTGTTGCCATCGGCGGCGTCTTTTAGTGTTAGTGAAGCCATAATGATTCAGAAACGTCCCAGTACTTCTTATGACGTCTGGTACTGCTGTAGGTGGTAGTAGTGGTCGTGGGTGGTAGTATTGGTCATGGGTGCTAGTAATGGTCGTAGATGGTAGTAGTGATCGTAGAGGAAGAGACTATTCAACAACCAGTAAATCCCAGGCCTTCTCATTAGCCCATAAAAACATAGGCTCTTCAGCATCTCGTCACACGCTTCCCACATCCCCGGCCGCCATGATAATATTCCACTGTACGAAACGAAGAGATTTCTAATGGGAGTAAAGGCCTTGTTTACATCTGACGCTTCTCTGTCGACTCTCTATTCACTGGGGAAAAGTTTTCATGATATAAATAACACACACACACACACACACACACACACACACACACACACACACACACACACACACACACACACACACACACACACACACAGCGAGCGTGAAGGTGTCTGTAATAACCAAAACAAGAATCCCAACAGTTTATGCAAGTTATACACGATTATATAAATTCAGGTGTTCACTGTCAGTCTTGTCACTTTATGTAAATTAATTATCTTATAAGTACAGGTATATAGGACTAATTAACTATATATTTCCGCTTACTAACCTAACCTAACCTAACCTAACCTAACATTTCCCTCGTAGATTGAGTTATGTTCGGTTTATGTGACTTAATCTGGTGATAGAGGTTGGTGGTGAGTGGTGATGAGTGGCGGGGGATGAGTATGTGAGTGGTGGTGAGTGGGAGATGAGTGTATGAGTGGTGGTAGATGGGGAATGAGTGAGTGTGTGTGAGTAGTGAGTGAGAAGGTCCCAACGCACTCACACAATACATCTCTTTAATATAACAAACCCCGTTGTCAGATGTACACCATAAAATGAAAAAGAATTAATTGTAAGAGGTATTGTAATCGTTAACTTTTGTACAATAGTGAAAGGATCGCCCCCCCAAAAAAAGTCGTAAGATACTTTATTGCGGTGTATAAAAAACCGCAGCGGCCAGCCAATCATCGTAGAGTATGATGTGACGTCAGCACTCCTCTTGTAATCTCCGTTCATTGCAACTTGGGTTAATTGTTGTGTTCGTAATCGTAATTGTAATAAAAAAAAATTCTTTGTAATCGTAATCTAATCACACTCCTACATCTTCATAAACCTGTAATTATGTAATCCATCTTCACTTTAATCGTAATTGTATTCGTAATCGTGATTGTAATCCTGACAAAAAAAATCTTCTTTTATATAATATTCAATTTACTTACAGGATTCCCGTATATGTCAATTAGGATTTTAGAATTTCCTGCCAATTTGAATAGCCTGCCGAGACAATTTGGCGCCATATGACTGTAACGTACGTAATCTGTGCCCATGTAATCTGGCAACACTGAGTCACTGATATTCAGATGCCTCAGTTGCTTCTCCGCCGCTAAAGGTCTTACATGTCTGTCTGTCCCGAGTCCCCGAGGCAGGGTTTGGAGGCTACACCTGTGCTACTGAATATTTTGTGCTACTCACTGTCTGTAAAGCACGGCTCCCACTCTCCCTCCCTCCACTCTCCGCCCCATTCCCTCCCCAACTCTCTCTCCCATTCCCTCCACGCCCCCTCCCATTCCTCCCACTCTCCTTCCCTCTCCTACTCCCCTTCCCATTCTCTCCACTCTCCCTTCTATTCCCTCAACTCTCCCACTCTCCCTCCACTCCCTCCACTCTCCCTCTGTCTCCCACTCACCCTCACTCGGTAAACCCCGGCTGGATATTTTTGTGCAGGGAGAACTTGTAATCTGCTAAATTGCCTTTTTGCTCGTGTGAATTTTTTGGGTGGGCATTTATTATTTATTTATAAGAGACCAGACTAAAATAAAATTATTATTATTATTTGAATTATCTCGTGTATTTTGCCTCTTTATTCGGGTATATGTTAACTCATTTATCAGTGCAGGTAATTGTGAAGTAGTTTGGTTACAGTAAAATGGAGTTTAAACGCCCCCTACCACCATCTTTTTTATGGCTGTATTGATATTAATATAGAAATTATTTTAGAAACTATATATTTTTATTGTAAGAATCGCATTAGATCTGAGTCAATGATTTCACTACACCGTTAATTAGACCAGAGAAGAGGTAACTATGGCCTGGACTAACACCCATCCGTAATAAAAAAAAAAATCATAATTGAATTTAACTTAAGATTTATAACTTAAGGTTCCTGTGATATTACGTACGGCATGAGTGAGTTATGTGAGATGTTACACAAGTCGTCGTCGGGTTGTTAAAGGAAGATAAATATTTAGATGAGTAAATTTACATATCATTTACATTAATAAGCAAAAATATATACAATTAACATTAAGGAGGTGAGTTAAAGAACAGGTAGGAGGATTATAATTTAGTAAAGAATTATTTAAGCCATGGTGGAATATTCAACTACATGTAAGTAAAAGAACTGAAGAAAGATAATGAAAAGTTAATAATCTAATATATCGGTAAATTCAACACATTTTTTTGTATAAGAAACATCAAGGGTGTTTGTTTTTTGTTAGTTGAGTGAAGAAATTAACAAACAAAAATATAAAAAAAATGAAGAAAATTGTGCAAGGAGAGTTTTCGTCCTCACTCGGCCCCCGTACTGCCACCAATCAGGGAAGACTTGGGTGTAAAAAAAAATTGTACCTAGAATTGGCGACTTTACTCTTTTTTAACACACACACACACCTTTCACTATCACCTGTTTTCTTATATTCTTCTTCCTTCATCTGTACCTCCAATCATCATCCCATGTGTGCGTCTGTTTTACGTCTCTGCCCCATACATCACTCTTACCGCCATCTGCGTTTCCTTTTATGCATCATTCCAGACATTCCTCGCAAATATTTCCCCTCGTTTCCCTTTGTTTACTGTTTCCCTTTGTGTTTCCTTTTAGTCGCCGTGAACTTTGTCCCCATACACACTAATCATGAGTAAATAATTGAGAAAGGAGTTTTATTTGTTAGTATTAAAAATGCCTGATTACATTTCTAGAGTTGTTATAAAATAGTGATGACATTAATTGCATACGTGTTAACCAAGATGCCAATCAGAGTGTTAACCAAGGTGCCAATTAGAGTGTTAACCAAGGTGCCAATCAGAGTGTTAACCAAGGTGCCAATCAGAGTGTTAACCAAGGTGCCAATCAGAGTGTTAACCAAGGTGCCAATCAGAGTATTAACCAAGGTGCCAATCAGAGTGTTAACCAAGGTGCCAATCAGAGTATTAACCAAGGTGCCAATCAGAGTGTTAACCAAGGTGCCAAAATAGAGTGGTGCCAGTGTCAGTGACGCTGTGCGAGGGGTAGTGAGAAGAGCCTTTAGTGCCTCAGTGGTTATTGGTCAATGAAAGTTATTGTGACTACACCTCTAGTCTGTCTCCCTAATGCCAGGTGTTGTAATGATGGTGGTGATGGTGGTTCATCATGATGGTGGTTGATGATAATTGTGGTTAATGATGATAGTGGTTGGTTGATGGTTGATAGTGGTTGATACTAGTGGCCGGGTTGGGTGGTTGGTTGGTGGTAGAGGCAGCGACCTTTTTCAGATTATTTAAAACTCTCCTCGTGAACCCGATCTGTGTGTGTGTGAGAGAGGTTACTCTTGCCTATGACGTAGAACAAGAACGAGAATAACCAGCCATTGTTTATACATTCAACTGAAGGTTATTATTAGACGGAGAGACTATTTTGTGTGTATGTGTGTGTGTTCGTGTGTGTGTGGGTGTGTGTGTGTGTGTGTGTGCCTGTGTGTGAGTGTGGGTGTGTGTGTGTTTGTGTGTGTGCCTGTGTGTGTGTGTGTGTGTGTGTGTGTGGGTGTGTGTGTGCCTGTGTGTGGGTGTGGTGTGTGTGTGTGTGTGTGTGTGTGTGTGTGTGCAGGGTGTGGGTGTGTGTGTGGTGTGGGTGTGTGTGTGTGTGTGTGTGTGTGTGTGTGTGGTGTGTGGTGTGGGTGTGTGTGGGTGTGTGTGTGTGTGTGAGTGTGGGTGTGTGTGTGTGTGTGTGTGTGTGTGTGTGTGGGTGTGTGTGTGTGTGTGTGTGTGTGGGTGTGTGTGTGTTTGTGTCTTTGTGAAAGTTAACAAGATAAAAACATTTTGGCTTTTGGACTTTTGATTTTGTTGAGTGTGTCAGAAGAGTAGGTGTCTGTACCGCACTCTAATGACACATACTCTTATAATGACACATACTCTTCATTATATTATCGGTATGTATCATCACCACTATGATCAAAAACCCTCTTTGTAATTCTTATTTGTCACTGTTTAAAAGATATATTTCACCCAAAGTTAAAACTGAAAAACCAATATGTGTTTTTTTTGTGGTTTATATATGAATTTGATGCAGTCATTAAAATTGTGTAAATATAGAGACCTACCTCATTAAAAACGGGTCTTTATACCTGAAGAATGTAAAAAAAAAAAAGTCTATTGCATTTATTCACAGTTGAACAAACCCGAAGAATCACAGTAAAAGAAATATTCATCATTGCTTTCATGAGTTGTGAGTCTTTGGGGGTGTTTCTGAGAGGTCAAGGGTTGGTATTGGTATGTTTATGGAGTGTCCCAGAAAAATCTCCCTGCCTCCCTCCAACTCACAGTGTCTTAGGGAGGCAGGCAGGGAGGGAGGGAAGGAGGCAGGCAGGGAGGCAGGCAGGGAGGGAGGGAAGGAGGCAGGCAGGGAGGCAGGCAGGGAGGCAGGGAGGGAGGGAAGGAGGCGGAGCAGGAGGGAGGGGGAAGCAGGCAGGGAGGGAGGAAGGAGGGAAGGAGGCAGGCGGGGGAGGCAGGCAGGGAGGGCAGGGAGGGAGGGAAGGAGGCAGGGACATTTTTCTAAGACACCCTATAACTGCACTTCAATAACTAAGGTCGTTTATGCACGTATTTCGGGTTATTGAATACATTAATCACCAATTGTTAAATACTAAGAGAGGTGTGATAGTTATAGTAATTTGAAGGTTAATTTAGGTTTAATTTAGACTTAATTTAAAGATGTTTGGGTAAGAATATATTTAGTTGTCTGAGGTTAGGTTACGTTAGGTTGGTTTACAGGAATACAAGTGATCCAGTGGGGTAGTGAACGCCTCAAACTTTCTAAATCCCGAGGACATTTCAGTGTGATATTGTGAAGGAGGAGCATTTCTGAGGGAGGGGGTGGTTAGGAGAAACATGAGAGTAGAGGGGTGTAGGAAGCAGCTAGGGGTGTACGGGTAGGAGGTAGCTAGGTGTGGGGGTGTAGACGGCAGCTAGGTGTGGAGGTGTAGGAGGCAGCTAGGTGTGAGGGTGTAGGCGGCAGCTAGGTGTGGAGGTGTAGACGGCAGCTAGGTGTGGAGGTGTAGCTTGGGGTGGAGAGGGTGTTTGAAGCTGCTAGGGGTGTAAGGGTAGGAGGTAGCTAGGTGTGGGGGAGGGGTGTTTCTAGGGGTGGGGAGGGGAGTGCATGAGGCAGCGAGGGGCAGATATCTAGATATGTGGTCAAGTAGTGGGGCTGCCACCACCACCACCTGATGAAAACAATGTTGTAACTTAATCCTGCCGTGATCACTGGCCGGCCTCCACTAATGACCTCACACACACACACACACACACACACACACACACACACACACACACACACACACACACACTCGCCATGTATTTGTGACGTATTGGAGTCCTTTGTGGATAGAGAGGAGTTGGGTTAGACGTTAATGATTTCAGTCTGACTTGTTCTGAAATATTAAATACCAGGTTACTGAGTGGCAAGACCAGGTTAAATATATATATAAAGCTTTAACCAAACACATGATCAACGTAGAATGTTACCTGATGTTTTCACGTTAAATGCCTGCAATTGGTGTTGTATTAATACCTGTGAAGCATTTTAATTAGTGAATGATTTATTAGAGAAAGGTGTAGCCGGGTGGGATGTAACCTGCTGTCGCACCTAACACTGGAAATACTGATATTCACTAATAATTCAAAGCTTTCAATTTATAACTTGCCAATGACGAATTTATTGATGTCAGTTGTATATATTTATGAAATTATTTGCAGGACCCAAATGAGTTTTTTAAGTTGGGGAATAATATGGTGATATGAGACGCCACGTGGCTAGGTATTACAGTACCTCACCTGTACGCTGCTCTCCAACATAGCTCTCCAACATAGCTTTCCAACATAGATCTCCAACATAGATCTCCAACTAGCTCTCCAACACAGCTCTCCAACACAGCTCTTCAACACAGCTCACAAACACAGTTCACAAACACAACTCTCCAACAAAGCTCTCCAACACAGGTCTCCAACAGAGCTCTCCAACAAAGCTCTCTAACAGCTTTCTCAACTACCATGTGCATATCTGACGGCTGTTAATAAAAATATATTGTTGTCTAAAAGTTCAATGTGTAGACCAATTTACTAATAGGAAAGTATAGTGTATTTCTCTGTCGCCTGTACAGTATTATATCGTTGTAAATATTTCAGTGTAATATTTTACTATGTACTTCAAGGTAACAAATTAGTTCTAAGCACATGAAGGTAATATTCGTTATAAATATTTTAGTGTAATATTCTAAAACCTTTAAACTTTTACAATTAATCAACAATATCTTTTTCTTTCTTTTTTTAATGTAAACATACACATTTTAAAGACATATTATCAGAGTATATTTAGTATACTATAGAGCTTTATCCCCTAAAGGCTAATTTATCTATCCGTACAGTCCCCTTCACTTGTACGTTTACAGGGGCTCGTCAGGTTTGGTGTAGTGTGGCAGTTCTGTGTTTGTTTTCCATTTGACAGATGGAAACTCGCAATTGTAAACATACTCTGGAATGAAAGTAAAACAATATTAAAACAAATATCCTCAATGTAATGATTTGTGGAATGTTTATATGACGAGCCCCTGTAAACGCACAAGTGAAGGGGACAGTACATGAAAAATAGCTACGAGGTTACTAAAAACAGCCTCGTTCCTCTTCTCCCCTATCCGTGCTGTAGTTTCCTCGGTGATGGGACATAAAATGAGCTCTTGTGTTAAATTATAAAGGAAATTCCTCAGATGATCTCAAAGGCTTTATGAAATTCCACTCGTGTATTATGTTATGGGGTGCCAGGGTGGTCATGAGGGGTGGTAGGGGATATGAGGGGTGGTAAGGGTGGTCATGAGGGGTGGTAGGGGATATGAGGGGTGGTAAAGGTGGTGATGAGGGGTGGTAGGGGGTTATGAGGGGTGGTAAAGGTGGTGATTAGGGGTGGTAGAGGGGTTAGGGGTGCCGAGGGGGTTAGACGGTCGAGATTAGTCTCCCCTTGTGATTGGTTCCTTGTCGCTTCCCCTGTATATCACTATTCTTTGTTCCCTGTTTATCATCCGTCTTTTGTTTCCCGTATATAAACAGAGAGAGAGAGTCAGGCAGGGGGGGAGGGAGGGGGGAGAGAAGCAGGCAGGGAGGAAGGCAGGCAGGCAGGCAGGCAGGGAGGGAGGGAGGGAGGCTGGCAGGGAGGCAGGCTGGCAGGCAGGCAAGCTGGCAGGCAGTCACCAGGGCACAGGAAAGTCCCCAGCTGATACAACACTAATTGGACCTCTCTAATACGAGTGTGGCACGATGGTGGTTCCCTGACTCTGTGCCTGACTCTGTGCCTGACTCACTACCTGACTGTGCCGGACTCACTGCCTAACTCATTGCCCGATTCATTGTCTGACTTATTGTCTTACTCACTGTCTGACTCACTGCCTGACTCTGTGTTCGCCTCGCTAACTGACTCTGTTCCTGTATTTCATTTGCCTCTCAGCTCGGAGGCTCTTCCACCAACCGTCTTCAACAACACCTTTACGTGAATATGTGGTGTGGACACTTGATGCTGCTCTTTATAAAATGGTCATTATTATCCGTTGCTTTCTATGTTTGGTGTCATTTGTCCTGATATATATATAATAATTAGTGAAAACAGAAGAAGTAATGGTGAATGTGTTCTCTGAAAACGTGAATATATTTGTGACTTGGACGGTAAATATTATCTTTTTCAAACTTTTTTCGTTTTTCCATTTACATAATGTTATCAAGTCGTTACATCTTTACATATATTCAATTCAGCATTAAAATAAGCCAGAACGGGGTATCATTAACGGTTATATATGGATCTATTTAGCGATATAACAATACTAATCGAATAGTATTAATGAGCCAATGAGGTACAAGGAACTGCAAAGGGGGGCGGAGCTTCTTAGCCTATACCCACAAGCACTGAAAATAGTCACTCAAAAAACTATCTCTACTGGGGACAGGGGGGGGGAGGGAATAGGATAAATTTCAGAATGAACACTGCGACTCCTGTTGTCTCGGTAGGTTTGTCAAAATCCTTCGTTCGTTGTGTCATTTTTTCAACACAATTTTGTACAGATAGTTTTTTGAGTAACTAAATATTTGTATATACTTTTAACTGCTCCGAAAAAAGTGAACGTATTTAGATTTCTTTGAGTAAAATAAGCGTAAAAAAAATACTCCATTATTTTTAGTTCGTAAGATGTAAGTGTGCAGTGTCGTGAGCCTTCATAAACAATTGTGTATTACTGTACAAGAACAACTGTGTAGTGCATCTCCTGCCTCACTCACCAGGAAGAGATGTGTGAGTGTTTGTACTTCTTGTGACCTTCCTTTGTCTGTAATGAAGTTAATTAAGCACCATGGAGTGTAAGTCGTCAACGAGGAGGGAGACTACCTTCTACTGTGACCCCCGACACACACACGGCTATATAACTACAGTATATACGAGGCACAGGACACTATTGTACATTTAGTAATTTATTTTCACTGAATCGCTTTATTGCGTCGTTATGGTGCTTATCCTGGAGGTCTCTCTCTCTCTCTCTCTCTCTCTCTCTCTCTCTCTCTCTCTCTCTAGCCTGGTAGTGCCCCCCCCCTGTCTATGTTTTCATTACGTTATTGTCGTGTATGAATAACACGGCTTAATTAAATCCGACCTCACTTTTGACCTCTCACGCGCGGGACTCAAGTTTAATATCAGTCTGTGAAATCACTTTTTTTTTTACGATTTTTATTTTTACTTTTATTTTATTTTTTTCTCTCAGATGAGATGTTGGAGGAGGTTATGAGGAAGAGTAAGTGGTGGAGAGGGGAATGAGAGGGAGTGGTGTGTCTGTGAGGGGGGAAGTGGTGTGCTGTGAAGGGGGAAGTGGTGTGCCTGTGAAGGGGGAAGTGGTGTGCTGTGAAGGGGAAGTGGTGTGCTGTGAAGGGGTGGTGTGCTGTGAAGGGGAGGTGGTGTGTGCTGTGAAGGAAGTGGTGTGCTGTGAAGGGGGAAGTGGTGTGCCTGTGAAGAGGGAAGTGGTGTGCCTGTGAAGGGGGAAGTGGTGTGCTGTGAAGGGGGAAGTGGTGTGCCTGTGTGCGGCAGGGTTGTGTCGCATTGCCTCAGGTTCACACACACACACACCTAGTCTGTTGTTGTGTACTCACCAGGTACCCAAAGTGTTGCCCTGACCTGCCAGGTGCTAAGGGCGCTTTAACTCGCTCCAGCTAAGGGTCTTGAGTCAAAGTGGTTGTTTTATACAGGTCAAGCCACAGTGTTGAAATTCGTCAGGTATTTGGAGAAAAATTCGCTCAAATCGTTAGTGTGGCGATAAATGCAGGGTTAATACTCGCTCTTTACTGATATTTAACGATTATGCTTGGTGAAGAATTCGTTATATGTGTTGATATGGTTATTATGCTGAGTGAAATATATTTGTTCCTTACCGCGTCCGTGTGACATGAAAAAGTGAAGTGGGTCTCATA